TACTATTGGCTTCATTTATGATGCATTTTTTCTACTCAGATCGTGATTTATTTATTTATTTATTTTTATTTTGTATTCTTCTTTTAATGATTAGCGAAAAGAAAATACTGAACATTTGTTTTCTGTCATATTTGTCTCTTGAATTTTTTTTTCCCCTTCTTAACAAAACAAATCAAAGTTGTGTTTGTTGTTGTTTCACCAAGTGTTCGCAAAATCGAAGCAGAATGGTTAATCATATATGGGCCCAGAAGCGGTTTAACCAACCTAACTGGTAAACCGAACGATTCAACCGTTTTAACCAGACAAGTCCTAGGCGGTCAAAAAATTGTTGAAAAAAATAAAAATAAAATACAAAAATAATCTACTAAAATATGAAAGGCATATAAAGAATGATTAAAACAAAACACATTCAAATGAAGTTGAAAATTAATGAAAAATAGACTTTAAAGAATCGATTTGTGCCTAGAGGTATTTTTAATTTTTTTAAAAAAAGATGGAAAAATGTAAAAGTGAGTATTAATGATCAAAACAATTTCTAATCTTTACCATAATGTAAATAATATTAAAAAATACATTACAAACCAAATTCCTTATTTTTTGGATTTTATATGTATTTTTTTATTTTATATTTTTAAATACCGGCCGATCACCAAAACCGCCTTAAACGGGAACGTCATGTGGCCGGTTCTGATCTAACCAGGAGGTTACCGGTCAGATCGCTCGATTTTTCCAACATGGGTTTCACCAAACAAACAATTATATTACATATAACCATCAACACAAGGTGTTATTTTGAAATAATCTCATTTAAAAAACTTTAACCCTTGAAAAGTTTTACTTTACATTTATGTAGAAAGCGAAGTGGTGAGTTCTCAGTCTTAGTTTGGTGAAAGGAAAGGAGGAAATTAACTTAAAAGAAAGCATACAAAGAGACCATTTACGTTTAATTCAAGGAGGTCACACTTACTTTTGTCCATCAAATTTCAAATTGGATGGTTTAAGTGTATTATTTGAAAGAAAGACTAATGTGATCTTGTCGAGGGATTTTTTTTTTTTTTTTTTTCTTTTCACCCCTGTTTTTTTCTTTTGGCAAAGGTCAATTTCAAGTAGTCTAATTACAATAACTCTTGCTTCAAAGAAAATAAAACTAACAAATTCAAGATCTTAAAAACCTTGATGCCAATAAACCAATTTTTTTTAAACAAAAAGAATATCAACAATTCTTATGCTTGGGAATATAAAGACAACATAATTAAATATGGCAAGAAACAAAAAAAAAAATGTCGGAGATTACTTCATCCATGTTTATTATACCCCACACCGAGTAACCACCATCTGATGGTGTAGGATCAATGATCAACCTTCAATCTCAACCGAGATAGCAAGTTTAGGTCAAACCCTCTAATAGAACTATGAACTCCTTTATCACAAGTCTTAAACCCTTAGGTGAATCTCCTTAGCAACCTAGTTTGAGAGAAATACTTCAATTTTCTATCATAATCCTATAGTCTAAAAACAAACCGTAATGAGAGAAGAGAGATCATAAGAGACACCATGAGAGAGATGACAACTGTCAATAACTTAAACCCTTTAAGTTCTTTCACAATGTGGAAGAGAGAGAGATCTCAAAGATGAGAGAGTGGCGTGGGCCCCCTTTGGACTTTCATGAGAGAGAGAAAATTTTCTTAAGAGAGAGATAGAAAGATAAAGTGTAGAGATTTTGGGTAGAGATAATCCATTTTTATAGGCTTTGAACAAGATTAAGGTTTTTTAGAGTTTTCCTTGGCTTGCATCTTCTTGTAAGATTGAATATGAACCATTGATCTTGGGTGACTTCTGAGGTGAGAGATTTGAGCCATCCATTCTATAGATGGGCCATCAGTATTATGGAATGTGTTACAACATTTATCCCCCATTCCTAAACTATTTTCTCATCAATAGAAATTAAATTAAATAATTCCATTCATAATATAATGCTTAGCAAAATTATGCACAAGTCTTCTCATATTTTTCAAAAATCATTTGAAAGGTTCCTTAAGGCAAAATCGTTCCAAAACATTTCAAAGCTTTCTCTTCAAGCCAAAGCTTGAAGTATCATGAAGAAAGTTTCATTAGGGTGGGGTGTGCCACCTTAGGTGGTACTTTATGGGCCCCACCCACATGCAATGGTGGGTATATTAACATATTGGGCGTCCCATGCAATATTAAAATTATTAAAATTAATTATATAATTTTTAGAAATTCATAAAATCAAATTCAAATATTTCAATCAATCTAAAATCAATATCTCTATTTTATAAATCTAAATTTGATAAATAAAATATCCAAAGATCTAAAAAGATTCAAATAATATTTCTAAAAATCATGTATCATTAAAACAAACACAATTAAATTTGTTAGATAGGAAAATGATCCATATAGTCTAGAAATTAAATAAATAAACATTGGAGCATTCCACCTTCAACTGTGGATTACGGTCCACACTTGTTGTATCAAACCGACCCGGTGTTTCCCATGACCCATGACCCATAGTCCAAGTATGGGCTTATTAGTGGGTCACCAAAGACTAGCCAATGAGCCAAAGGGTCGTAATCTCAGTTTGTGGATTTCAGGTTCTCCCCTAGAGACATATTAATGTCCTTATACGTCCTAGGCATATAGTTTTCTATGCCTAGGTAACATAGATTTTTCCAACCGACTGGCCTAACTCATCATGCTCAGTCTGGTATCAGTAAGCAATGTTTGTTTAGTATGGTTTACGAGAGACCACACTCTCACTAAATTCAAGTTTATATCATTTCATTTTATAAATACTCGTAAAGCCTTTAATGGTCATACTAATCCAATATCATTGACTAGACTTTAAGTTCAACTTTTTTTTTTTTTGAGCTTTGAGAAGTAGCCAAGCCATCCATTTGACATCTAATGGTTGGTATGAATTGTGACCTCCTTGTACGGTCCTATATTATAGGATCCTTTTTCGATGCAATGGTTCACTTTTTGGAATCAGCCACCATGAAATAGTGTGGCGGTGGAGTACGTAGTTGCACATAAGTTACAACTAATTGGCCATTTTAAGACCATTAAACTCTAGAAAAGAAGAGTCACATCTATGTGTATTTAATTGTCGCATTGGTTCAAGGTGAAGGTGCATTTTCTCTCTCTCGTTTCAAGGGACTCCAATCTTTTAAAGCACGGTTTTGATCATCTTGCACATAGTTTTTAGACCTTTTTCTTATATGAACTTTGTCTCTTTAGTGCAAAGGTGTTGTACTTGTAGATTCGTAGAAGCAGGACACTGTTAAAATCTTTTGTTTCTTTGTGTCCAGTTTGCCCAGAGAACTTTTATGCATATTGATTTTCATCATTAAGGGGCAACAGGAAGATAGTTAGTCCTTCAAAAGCATTAGTGAAATCTTTATCTTTTTGCCTTGTTTCACCCCACTTATTTCTCAACAGTAACCCAATCATTTGTCATTTAAATGGATGATTGAGATGAACCTCCTCCGCTCTGGAGGCCATTGACAGACCCAATTAACAAATCACCTTTCTATCATAATTGTGAAGAGTTCACCGAATGATACGGGTGGGAGCGGGTTGCGTAGGGTCCCGATCGAGAGACCCGAAATCCATACATGAGGCTAGGACTGGGACCCAGACACAGACCTGCACCCGACTGGGTCAAGCATATTTGGATCGGGACTCGAATCCATAATTTATTTAGAGGACCTGTGCTGGACCGGATGGATTATACATAGAAAAAATAAAAAATTACCTAAAAATATGTATCAAAAATTACTAAGAATTACCAAAAACATGTAAATAGCTAATAAGAAGATTTGGGTAATAATTCATCAATTTTCTCATTTTAATAAGAAGATTTACAAAGAAAATATAAAAAACAAATATACAATAATATATATTAATCAATTTTATCATTTTAATAAGAAGATTTTCAAAGAAAAAAATAAAAAAATAAAATCTTAATATCTATATATAAGCGGGCGGTGAGGCTATAAAAAGAAGAGTGCCGAAAGAAGATAAAAGAGTATATATATAGTAATATATTAACCTTTATAAATTTATATATAAAATATTTTAAAATAACTCCAAGATTTGGACCTGGGCTCGATCCGTCAGGTCCAAATCTCGGATCCATACCAGGACTGGGTTGGGTTGTCGGGTGTCGGGTCGGCTCCGAGTAAATTCCCAGCCCTACCGACTGTGTCTGATTGTTATGATTGGAAAGCTTCTCTAGTGTGCGCTATGCTCTTCGAATTGAATACCATCGACTTGATGCTTCTCCCTGCGCTTAATTTCTCAAAGATAAGTTAAATGCAAGATACATTTCTGGACTACCACTTAAATATCATGAAGAACACGAAAATTGGAGGGCTAATAATGCGTAAGGCCCCATTTGGACGGTTCAAATATTCCATTGAAGGATCCAGTGAGGTTTGAAAAACAAGTTTTTCATCATTGGATCCAGGTAATCTGAGTGTTGGCGGGTTTTTATGAACATGAGGGAGATAAAATTACAGAAGGATGGTGTTTGTATAAGGTGTCAACTTTATAATATTGAAGTATGGTGCATCTCAAAACTATGCCGAAAATGCAATTTAGGCACTGTAAGTCTTGTTGTGATATGAAAATTTATCACTGCCCCCAATTACAAAATTTAAAGTTTTAAAAGTAGTGACGATCAAGCAGATCTATGAATACTTGAAATTATTGAAAATGGACGGTCTAGATATATGTTAGAAGATGAGCATTTTTTAGGATTAAAAATCGTCTTTTTTTTCTTCTTTTTCATATCTATGAATCTTGAGGTTGAGATGATTGATTTGAAGGTTTTATAGCAAATGAGAAACCTTTCCCAATGGATTTTTGGGTGTACCTTAATTGTATGATATAAGGTTGATACCTTTCCTTTTGCATTCCTCAATGGCATGGGAAGTAGAAGAATTTAACTGCTAATAATTAATTCATCCGAACAAGGCTCATACAAACTCAAAGCTTTACTGCTGCAAAGATAGTTGAGAAGATAGCTGCATAAGAAGCATTGGCCCTACCCATGTATTACTTGTTATATATTAAATTTATTGGTGAATTTTAGCTTCCGAGTAGCAACAGTCAAATCTTTTCCCTCTCAAGGAAGTAGGAACCAAAGAGAATAGCTGCCTAAATAGGTAGAGAACATTTGAATGAATACTTATATTGCTCCCTTCTACATGCTAAATTGTTTCACAAGAATTCTTCTTCTCTTTCCCTGTTGGAAAACCCTGCTTCACATTTGGGCTCAACGTGCCGGAGCTTTTCATGGCAAACACATAGGTAGGAAGAACATCAAACGCCTCAACTGCTCCCAATTATCGCCTCATATTTTTCCTTGATTTTCTCTATCAGTGCTTCCCTATAATCAACAACAATCTTTAGAAACTCATCTTTTATCTACAATATTAACACATTCATACAACGGGTAAAATGCTCAAACATAGCCAAGAAACAGAAACCAAAAAAAAGAGAAGAAAGAAATAGACATTTCGTCCACCTTTAGGAGGAGGGCTATATTGGTCTGCCCTCCCCCATTTTTTGGGCTTTAGGAGGTTATTGTTTTGCTCCAAACTTGGAGCAAACATTCTTTTTTCACACTGTAGAAGATTCCCAAGACAAGAATTTAGAAAATAACTTGGAAATGGTTTTCTTAGACTTGACAAGCAGAACAATCCACTTAATAGATGACAGAATCTATTCATCAGAACACGAATGTTTTTATTAATTATTCATCCAGCGATGATGAGGCAATCTACAAAATTTTGGCTTAATAATAGTATTCTTTCTCTCCTCAAAACAGCACAATTTTTCTATTTTTCTTTCCATCTTTCAAACTTTCTTTTTAGGTTGTCATCCACCGAGACCAAGATGATGTGTGCCAAATTTGGGGGGAAACAAATAGCCCTAACGGGCCCAACATGGGACAGGTCAAAACTGTTATGGTCCACCCTCGGGCACACAAATATTTTCCCAACAAAAAAAAAAGGTTTTCATGCTCTAAATCTTTACTTCTCGTTTTTTTTTTTTGAACTTCAGTTTTCCTGCTCTAGTTAATCCCATTTGGATGCTCTAATAGTCATGTCAGAGAAATAACCTTGCTTTCATGTTAGTCACTCTTAAACCGGTGAAAAACAGTGTCAATCAGAGAATTTATTGTCCAAACAGGGCCTTAGTGAATGGGATGATGACTAATGGCCTGAAATACATGGTTTCTACTGTCATTATGAAGAATTTAAGTAGGCATGCGTTGCCTTTCCTTTCCTTTTTGTGTGTGCATAGAAACATGACTAAATGCGCATTTATCTGAACCTCTATACACATGCAGTTTATGCATGCAGTGCAAATAGAGCTGACGTCCCAGCTTTTTGAATATCCTCATAGCCTAATAGACTTCCTGTTGGGGCGAACTTTTCCATTTGCGAAAGCTTATTACAAAAGAAAAATATAATTCGATTTAATCATCATAATAATTACAATGGTGTTATTTATCAGCAACTACTTAATAGAGCATGAAATCAATAGCTGAGAAAGAGATGGAGGAACAGTGGAGATAAGCACTTCAATGACATGTTTGGTCGGACCCGTTTACCTCGATCACCATGAATTCCATTGACGGATGGTGATATCATGTTCTTGCCATGGCCATAGGGATCGCAGTATTTGGACCAATTACGAAAATGCTTAAAATAATTTAGCGACATTAGCTGTAATGGAAAGTAATATTGTAATCCTCGAGACCATAGGGACTTTAAGGTTACAATGATCATCATTGTCCTGTAGACATATTGAAGGGTCATGGAGAGAATGTGACCCACCTAAACATGATATGTCCTATTTAGCATATTTACCCCTCTCGTCATCACCATCCAATCCACTGATTAGATGGTGTTGATCCTCTCAACTTCTTAATGACTAGTTTATTTTCCCTAGCACTGATGCAATATTTTATACTTGTATGGGATGGCAGATGTCACTATAATGCCTGCAAAGCAGTGTAACACTGTTACCTCAGCAAATGATGCATGCTAACTGTGCCGTTAACCAATTTGAACAAAGCAGGGAGGTATTTCTGAATTTCCATGTGAAAACGTTTGTGTGCTTCAGCACTCTCACATCTAAACAACTGCCCTAGGAAAACCCACTAAAAGCTGCAAGTCAAGCATGCCTGTTGAACTTCAGTCCTGATGGGTGATCTCTAACCACATCGTAGTTGGAGACGTAAGCTTAGACATTGTCAAAATTGATATGCATGACACACCAAGACATGACAGCGATGTTTGAAACTTTACAAAGCCTAGATAGGCACTTCGCTATTGTGTGATACAGGCACAATAAAAATACCTAATGCCACCTAAAATTCAAGATCCTACTATTTAAAAGGTGAACATACATTTCGTATCAGAAAGACCAATTTAGATATTGATTTTATTCTCATATATACAGCAAATGTTGCCAGATATATCCACATTATCTTACTCATGAAAAAATATATAACTAGTATTCAAAGAAAGATGGTTTTGTAGACTTACCGGTCTGGCTTGAATACTAAGTTGCGATACGTAAACCACTGTCCACAAAACATAAAACATAAGGGCCGATAAGCTGTCAAAACATGGCTCAGAGCATTCATCCTCACATTAAGAAATTGAAGATATAGTAAATGTACGAGAACGTCAAGAAGAATTTGTGTTACTTTGAATTTCAGTGAAAATTGAAATGGAAAATTTAGGGCTCCATATATGACCAGATAGTTATAGAAGAAGAGACATCACATTGCATATGCTTAGATCTGAAAAGCATACCCCAGTATAACCGATTCCAACGAGTTCCAAAATGCCAGGTACCAATGGCAACCTATCAATAGCCTACAAAGCAGAAAAGGTTTACCGCGTTAGAAACAAATGCAATGGTAATAGACAAAATGGCTAACCCGATAAGATCTGTGCTCTTACTGAAATCATTCCTGTGGAGGCCCACAAAGCAACAATTCCAGCAAAGGCCAGAGATGCAACAGCATACTTGTCGTCAAGTTTCTCCCACTGTTGAAGAAACAACATGATTATCACTAACTGAGTTAACATTGTTGAACACACTTGCAGATATTAGAAACTATATGATACACCCTGTATATCATGTATACTACAGAACAGGAAAGCATATTCACCATCTGTTCCTGATCATGGTGGTAATCAAATTTACCAATATGAATAGTCCCTAGAGCCCCTTTGTTTCTAATCTCCATGTCAGTAATTGGGAATCAAAAGTAGTTGCCCTTAATCCATGGAGTGCCATATACCATCCATGCTCCCAAGTGAGATAGAAAAAGAAGTTATTGTGAAACGGAGAAGTAAAACTCACAGTATCTTGGATGGGCTTCAGGACCTCTGAAACATCGGGACCGACTTCGACTGATGTGTCTCCAGTAGCCATGGAAACCACATTCCGTGCCAAGTTACGACCTGGAAATGGAGTGCATTCAACAAGTTGCAGGCACGCATGGAGGTAATCCAACATTACTGTGCTAGGAATTAATTGTCAAAGAGCAAGACGAAAAAGAAAAGGACCTCTGTTTTCTCTGGTTTCCCTTAGCCTTTCCGATTTGTACTACCTCGCAATGTATGGGAAATGGGCCATTGAGCATTTACCACCACCATGGTATAATGGAGGTATCCCAGGGAAAGATCTCCTAGCGTTCATATCCCAGTTGCTTGGCCCGATGATGGACATGCGAGTCCTGGAGTGGTGGTTTTCTAGCTCTGTTTTCTGCCTAGGTACTCATGTCAATACATTAACAAAATATATACGATACATCAGCGGTCTGTTGCTGTACTGTCTGTTGCTGGTGACAGATGGTGGATGTCAACTTGCAAAATTTATCAAATCACACGTAAGAGATCATCTATTTGGCATTTCACCCATCCAACAATTTATGACCCAGGCCAATGTGTCCTTTAATGGGCTATTTGAAATTTGATCAAAAGAATAATGAACTACTAAAAATTACATCAAAAGAATCAACTGAGATGTTCAATTCTTCAACTTTTAGCTGTGATCTGATAAGATTTCCTATGAACTTCAACACCCAGTGGCGGACACTCGTCCAGGTTAATTTCCGCCGTCCATCGAAATTCCAAACAGTAGATGGCTCATGGGGTTCCACGAAACAAAAACCATCGGTGTTTTGTATACTTAAACCATAAATACCTATACTCTTGTTACATTCCAAAAGAAAAACTATTGAATAGATCCCTGAAGATGTCCATGGGACCATTTCGCCTTTCACCATTCGACCCTTTCACCCCTGATACCAATAATGTCAAGTTAAATTTATAAAATGTTCTGTAAAACTCCAAGGGCTCATTACCATAAAGAGGGAAGCAAGAACAACCACAGGGTGATTACAATATAATGCTCCTCTGTAAGCATCTATTCCCCAAGAATGGTTGAATTGTGGAGATTGATTGGGAGGTTTGGCTTAGTGTTTGGGGCACTAGGGTGAGCAGTACAGTGTCAAAGGTGCAAATTTCACAACCAACTAACCCAAGAAAAAGATTAAAAGAAATTTGGTTCATCACAATTTGAATGGTGGATGCTCAATTTATAGCATTGCTACAATGTGCTCTCAACCACTAGATTTCAACTTTCGATTTGATCTTTTTTATGCTGGGTAGCGAATTTCAGAGAGAATTCTAAGAAAGAGGTCTGGGAATAAAAGGAACTTACAAGAGGCCATTGTCTTCCAGCTCTGGCGGCTCGGCGGCCGGGTCTGTGACAAAATTTGCGGAGGCAAGAGGCTCGGGAGACCAACGCACGGCTGCACTGTCGACGTTGGCGCTGCCTGAGGCCGGCTAGGGTCAAGAATCGCCGGGGAGGAAGCCATGGACATGGTGGTGGACAAGGTCGCCATGGCAATGAAAAATTTTGTTCAGAATTCGAAGTGTATTTGTTGTGTGTGTTTTTTCAAGGGGAAGAGACTCAAAGGAGATATTGTCCTTCGGCAAGTCACGACCAATCACTCCTCCTTCATCTGGATAGTGCTGACGTGGCAATACGATATTGAGTTTAATGGTAATGGTAGTTTCCTATTGACCAGTGTTTTGGTGTGGCTCCCACATTTTGAATGGGGCAACGAAGAGCCTTGCTTTCTTTATCCGTTGGATCAAAAAATTGAAATGCTGGATTGAAAAATTGACAAAATATCTACTAGGCTCTATTCCATTTGTGTAGGCCGGCCCACAAGAATGAAGGTAGGGCCCGGCCCAAGCCCATATAATTTGTTTTTGCTAACCCACAAGAATAAAGCATTTCCCATTGGGAAAAGGTGAATTCTATTCTTGCGACCGTTATTTTTTCTAATAAATTATTTTCCTTAGCCAACTCCACTGATCGTGCAAAAATCTATATGGTGGTCCGTACCAAAAAGATTGGCATTAAGCATAAGAAAGGAAAAATCTTGGGGATAAAAAGAAGAAAGGGAAATTAGGCAAACTATTGAAATAAAAAGGGGGAAATCATTGGATTTTGGAAAAAATCATTGTATTTTTTAAATGTACTTTTTATTTAAGTAAAATCAATGTAAATATCCCTTTTTTTGGTTATTTAAAAGAGCAATGATCCTATAAGACCCTCCTACATCAATGAAGGAGCACCATTAAATTTGGCTCAGATCTCTAGAAAAGTCAAGTCCCATGCCCATGTGATAAATTTTCTAGAGATATGTGTCAAATTTAATGGTGATTTTTTGGGGTCCTACACACATGAGTGTGGGAGGGTCTCATAGGTTCATTACTCTATTTAAAAATATATTTAATATTTTTAATTTTATACTAATGTCCCATGTATTTTTTTATGTTTCTAAATTTCCTTGGTTCAGAAATCCTACTTCCTAACTAGAGAATCTCTCTCTCTCTATTTTGTACTTGGGGTTCAATTTCGAACTACATATTCTAAGCTGAATTTTTTTGTTAAAGAAGTCTTTACTCACAATAAATTACTTTAGCCAGTTTCGAACTTAAAATTCCAAGTAAATTGTATTTCTTTTTTCTGTGAATGGTTATGAATAGTTTTTGCTTATGCATTTAAAATGAATACTTTGGAACTTGAACCTTCACGCCGCTTAGGTTCTCTCCCCTGGACAAGCCAAGAGAAACCATGAACCAGAATAGAAGAACTTGTCCCATAAAATTGAGATATAGATGGAATATACTGAAGTAGAGCCACTTTGAGGTTCCTTATGAAATGAGGCCACTTGTTTTTTATTTTTTGTTTTTTTGGTGAAAGATGAGTTCGAAATTCTAAGTCTTCTTCCAATTTTTACTGGAATATAAACCCTTTAAACCACCCCCGGGGAACTCCCAAAAAAAATACCCAACCCTCTCTCTCCCTCTTTTTTTTTAACAAAAACAAACTAGCCAATTAATAGAGTCAGCCGTTAAAATAAAATTCTTCTCCTATTAAATAATGATGAAATTTCTCTAATCCCCTTGTTGCAGCCAAAAATTATGTTTTAGCAAGCTAGTAATTTAGTTCATGATTTTTTAACTATCTATTGATATCAAAACTTAAAGGAGGAAGGTTTTGGGTTAGGGATTTTAATTTAATTAGCACGTAAGTAGTCTTCTCATTCCATGTCAATGGCTCATTCTTCAAGCAATCTCTAATATTTTTGGTTTTTTCTGAAAATCTTGGAATAAAATTCCAAACATAATTTATACAACCAAAAAATTTCTACCATTATAGCTTGTCCTGGAGCTGATCAGGGAATTTATCAAGTTTTTGAATTGCATGAGGCAGCATTATAATTCTTCCTTCTGATAGCTGAACTTCGAGGAAATCAACTATATTTACAACAACTTCGAATTTATCTTTTCAAGCAAATAAACCAATGCCATGATCTTGAACTAATTGAAGAAACACTTTAAGATGATGTACATGCTCTTGCTCACTGTTAGAGTAAACAAGAAAATCATCTATATAGTTAACAATAAACTTAATGTAAGATTTGAAGATGTAATCTATCCTCATTTGGAATTGTGAGGGAGTAGGTTTTAGGCCAAATGGCATGACCATCAATTCAAATAGTCATTCGGGAGTAGAAAAAGTTGTCTTGTGGATGTCTTCATTTTTTATCTTGATTTGATGATACTCTAATTTGCAGTCAAACTCTAAAAATATTTTCTTCTCTACTATCCTCTATGTCAACTCTTCTTTATTGGATAAAGATCATTTTATGTCCACAGTAACATTATTAAGAGGAATGTTTAACCACCATTCTGACTGTCCCTCGTTTTTCATCTCTGTGGTTTTTCACAATAAAAGTTGCATATGAATAATTTGACTGTGATAGCCTAATTAAACCCTTTTCTACCAGTTCATTAATTTAATTTTTCAACTGGACCTCATCTTTTTTATGTATTCGAATAGGCTTACTCTAAATTGGTATATTATGAAGAGTGGAAATATGAGCCATAAGCAAGTCTTTGTCGTATTTTTCTAAGGGGTGTTCAACACACCATTTCTTTAAGTTTTTAGTAATATATTTAGTAGTGGTGATATGAGATCCAACTTATAAAGACAATCCTCTTATTTATTTAACAAGCTCATATTTTTCGTGGACTTCTTCCATTTTGAGCTGTCTTTTTATAATTTTTCTCTAAATATTGGTCGAACGCATTTTTAATGGTGGAGATAGTCCTGGAATAATCTGTTTCTCTCCTTCTATAGAAAGTCATACCATACCCTCTGAAATAGTAAAGGGACTTATTACATCTAGAGTTACAACACCTAATCCAGCATGATACCCTCCATCATCTATATTTACAAAATTTATAGAAACCACTTTTTCACCAAGTTTTAGAGGGACATTTAAAGCAAATTTTGTTAACTTTTTTTGTCCATTTATTGTTTCAACAAATTCGCCCTAATGATATTTTACCCAATTTTCCTACGTTTCTTTTGTGCAAAATTTAATATTAGCTTCAACATCCAAACATAATTTAACCTTTCCATTCTTGATATCCATCTATAACAATTTTGACTGGAACTAATAAAACATTTTAGACGTGAGCTAATTTCTTTATTTGATAAACCAGTTCTTTTGGAAGAGTATTTTCAACTAGTTTATTAAATAAATGCCGGAAATCTCCCTTATAATCTGTCCTTGAAGCTTTGTTTTATTTATTTAATTTTCAATTCTTGATCAAAAAATATTATTGATTCATTATTAGAGAAAAATTTATAGGAAGAGCTCATACCTTCATCAAGTACTTAAAAAGAGCAAGAGTCATCTCATTTTTCTTTTTTTGTGTTATGTTCCATCTGCAGCATTTTTATCTCCAAATAAGTTTTTAAGCTTGACTGATCATCATTTTCTTCTCCGTCATATTTATCAAAAGGGTTCATTCCAATTAACTTGTTTAATTATAGAAGAAGAATTTAACTTTATATGATCCAATTAAATTGTTTAATTATAGAAGAAGAATTTAACTTTATATGATCCAATTAAATTGTTTAATTATAGAAGAAGAATTTAACTTTATATGATCCAATTAAATTGTTTAATTATAGAAGAAGAATTTAACTTTATATGTTTGAAAACTGGTATATACAAATTATCCAGATCAACTACTTTTATATTCACCAATTTGTAATAATCACTCTCTTTCTTTTCATAAGAAAATATTCATCCACAATTTAAAATTTCTTCAATTGGAAAAGATGAAGCTTTCCATATTGAAGATCCTTCAATGCCCTTATTAAAGAATTCTTCTTCAAGAGACTTTTTGGGAACTAAATATTTTGCACGATGTGTTTGCTAGCTACAAAAAGGTTCAAAGGTGTAGATGGCAAATCTTTTTGATTCATATTCAAAATAAATATCTTTTTGCTTGATCCAAAAAGTCTCACTCAAGCACCAGACTGAAAAACATGGCCCTGATGATGATATGGAAAACATGGCCCTGATGATGATATGGATTGTAAGGAGATAATTTGGACTAAAAAATTTAATTCTCACAAATGAAACAATTTAAAACCGACACCAAATTCCCACTATATGTTTGCATAGGGCGTATGACAGACTCAACAAGCAAACTGACTAGAAAACAAAGTGACTGAGAGCTTAAAATTAGAGAAAATTTCAAAATCATCTATATCGACCAACTTTCCCCTTGATAATAGTACTAGATCTATTGCAGTAACATTCCCGCAACTCTGGTTGTTGCATCATCATTTGCCCATCTTCTGAGTTCCTAAATCATTATACATTTATTTACCCAAGCTACAATGATTTGTTTCACTTTAGAATTGCTTAGCCTGTTAATGTTTAGTATATCTATACTTCCACCATTCTCTAAAGCTCTCATTATTTTTATTTGAGAAGTAATTTTGAAAATCTCGTCACATTTTTCATTCATTAATTGATTCTTTTTAAGAGGAAGAAAAAAGGATGGAGCTCCTTTAATTTTTTTTTTTTCTTACATGCTCCTCTATTTTCAAATAGTTTTAGGTGTTTATCATGAACACATTACCTTTTCTTTTCCTTTCAAAACTTCTTGTTCTTTATGTTGCTTAACTTTTGCCAACAATTCAAGGTTTTCCTATATTTCTTTCAATGGCAGATATATGCTTTTTAGTTAAAGATATCCAATAAATTAAATAATTTAACTATTAGACTTTACCTACACCCCAACCAAGTCGACTCATATTACCTATCCTTAATTGATCCAGCCCATTCGGCCTGTCAAACCCACACGCCCTAGCTCCTTAGGATCCACACGACCTACACACCCTAGCTCGCTTGAACCTCCTCAACCCAATTGATACATTCAAGCCCAACCTAATCCGAATGAACTCTTGACCCACAATTAAAACGAACCAAATGACGATGACCGTGTAGGATCATGGGCAATCACTAGCATGTGACTCGATGATCTTAGCATGGTAAGATGTGTGAGGAAGTGGAATCAAACCACGTCTCAAG